AAGAGGAGAAAGAAGTTTGCCTGTATTTCTCACAGGGAAGGGAAGGGGTACAGTGTGACATCAAAATGAAAGGATGCTGGAGCTTGAGCCCCTTCTTGCTCTCCAGGATCCCCACAGTGATCAGTTCCCAGAACCCTGGTTTATTCATGTAAATCACACTTATTTTTCTCAGTGGCAACTATTGACTAAGCTCCCCTCTAGGTTCAAATCATTCTATATGATTAAAACACAGAGGGTCCCTACTCTCAAGGAAGTTACACAACAGTACAGGAGATAGACAGACAATAACCCACTAAGCACTTAACAAAGAAGAAAATGTTAGAAAAAAGACATCACATTTGTGAAAAAGAGAGAAATGGATTCACCCAACTTTAGTTCATATGTTTCGGGAGCTCTACCTGAGCTCATTTGCATTTTCATTCATTTTGCACTTCATCATTTTAAAAGTTCTATATGTCTGTGATGGCCTGTGTTGAAGAACACAAGGAAGTATTAAATCACTCCTTCTTCTGAGGTTTCAGTAGCAAGTTGGGCTGGGGTTGCCAAATAAAATACAGGTTCCTGGCTAAATCTGAATTTCAGATACACAAACATAAGTAATTGGCAATCCAGATTTACCGGGGCATCCTCTGGTTTTATTTGCCAAACCTGTCAACCCTAAGTGGGACATATGAGCATGATTACAGGGCTAACCATGTAAGATACAGTGACAGCAACTTCACACATGTTTATTTTTTAACTTTATCTCTGTAAAGAAAGTGCTTAGATAATTTAAGAATGGTAAGATACACACTGTTTGATCCAGGATGCACTCCTCTTTGTCATCATATCTAAAGGGCAAAGGGAGTTTTGTGAAGAAGGTCTTACTCAAAGTCTGGGGACCTGCTCATATTTTTGTAAGCTGTCTGTATGAGAATGTCATTTTCTTGGTTTCTCCCTTTCTGTGGGGACTTGACTACAAAAGAAGAGTTCTACCTCCGCCCAAGGCTGGTAATTTGAATCCTACTAATGTTGTTGGGAGTGGGAGACAAATAAACGTGTTAGTTGGGGAATTAAACAAGAATAAAATAGCTGTGGTTGTGATTCATTATGACGGATAATTAGTGGACCAGTGGCAGAGAAACTAAGAAAAAAGATGATATGAAAGATAAATGATATGATTTGGTGACTGATCTGTAAGGCAAGGAAATCGATAAATCTTGGTCCTCAACAAGTTCATTTTCTGGAAAGAGTACTGTATTGGAATCAGAATCCTATAAATCATTCGTTTTATGTAGGACCAAGATTTTCAATGGATATTTTTCCATGTAATTCTCAGCTGCTCCATAACTAATAGTTGCTTGTTCAACACAGATTTTTTCAGATGGATCACATCCATGGTTCTTACCCAGGCATAGTTCGCCACCCCTCCCCTCTCTCCCATCAACCTTGGGGAATGTGTGACAATGTTTGGAACAATTTTTGGTTGTCACAACAGGGATTACGCCTGATATTTAATGAGTAGAAACCAGAGACACTTCTAGAGAACCTGCCATGTTCACAACAGCCTCTGTCACCAACAAAGAATTATCTGGTCAAAAATGTCAATAGTTCTGAGGCTTAGAACGCTGGTTCACACTGTGCTCTTCCTGAAAATTCTAGACTCACGTCTTCTATACACTCACCACCTCCATTCAGTTCTTTATGGTTTATTTTTACTTGTTTCATTACAAAAAACTAGACAGTTCCATAAATTCAAGCACTTTCTTGTTGAATCCATTTAGTCAGTGCAAGTTCAATACCTTCATGTTTATTTTTTGCCTTATGCAGTATTTTTCACCATTTTCATGAGTTGTCGGTCATCACTATCTCTATTAACTTTTCACAACTTGCCCCCTTCCAAGTCACAAACAGTGATGCTGCTGCAATTACTTTTCACTAAGATGCCTCAGACTTCCGTAGTGATTCTACATTTAATATTATTCACAACGTAAGTCTCCTTGTTTGGCACAAGGTCGTCACAAAGCGTTCACAGGATGAACACGGTGGGGGCTGTTGAAAAAATGGGTGAAGCCTATGGGATGAGAGAAGTGACAGAGAGTGTGTTTGGGGCGGAGGCTCCCAGGAGGAGGCGGCGCGGGCTGCGGTGCTGGGCGGATCCTCCTGCAGCTCCTGCTTGGAGGTCTCCAGAACAGGCTAGAGGCAGGAGGGGGGCCCAAAGACTTGGGATCAGAGGAGGTTTTCCCTCCTAGTCCACCAGTCCTGTCCGTCTCAGGAAGATGGAGGATGAGTCCCTGGGCTGCGGGTGGTGGGAGTTGAGGGTGGGGCCTGTCAAGGTTCCCAGAGCTCGTTCTGCGCCCCCACTCCCCCGGGAGCCCCGGATGACGGCGTCGCTGTCGGTGTCTTTCCCGGAGGCCGCCCCGTGACCGGATCGTTCGTGTCCCCATAGCACGTTTCTTGAGGCAGTTTAAGCCTGAGTGTCATTTTCTCAACGAGATGGAGCGGGTGCGGTTCCTGGTCAGACACATCTATAACCAGGAGGAGTATGTGCGCTTCGACAGCGACGTGGGGGAGTTCCGGAAGGCGACAGAGCTGGGGCGGCCTAGCGCAGAGTACTGCAACAGCCGGAAGGACTACATGGAGGAGACGCGGGCCGCAGTGGACACCTACTGCAAACACAGCTACCGGATTGGTGAGAGCTTCACAGAGCAGCGGCGGGGCGGGGCCTCCCTGTGAGCTGCCAATCAGAGACAGAGAGAGAGCGCGAGACTGAGAGACTGAGAGATGAGAGAGAGACAGAGAGAGATGCACAGAGAGAGAGACTCAGAGAGACACTCAGAGAGAGAGAGAGCCATCTGTGAGAGTTTAGAATCCTCTCAATCCTGAGCACGGAGCTCTGAGGGCACAGGTGTGTGTAGAGAGAGTGGATTTGTGTGTGAGGCTGTTCTGGGAGGGGAGGCAGGAGGGGGCTTCTTATCGTAGGAGGCCTCTGTGGGGAGGTGACATGGGAAGTGGGTGCGGGGCTGGAGAGGGAGGAGACCTCGACTGTCCTGGGTCCTTAGAGATGCAGGAAGGGAAATGTGAGGTGTGTGTGGCTGGGGTGAGGGTTTAGGGGAGGAGAGCTGAGGGGTGTGGCAGGTTTGGGATAGTGTGAGGAGGCCAGTTCCAGACCGTCCCTGCACACACCCTTCATGCAGTCTCTGAAATCAAAGTGTGCGGTGTTGGTTTGCAAAAGCATCAGATTAATTTCTAGGGGAGCTGAGGAGACCTCTGAGGCACCTCTGAATCTTCTTTAGGTCTAAATTTCTTGCAGTTTTCTTTTGTTTTCTTAATGTGTATATTTTTACATAGTTGAAATGACTGTGAAAGTAACTTTAATTGAAGTTTTAAGATACTATTACTATTTAATTATAATGCTAATACTTTTCTAGTAGTTACATATTATTCTTTTATATATAATAGTTGTGACACAACTCACTTCACTTTCCCCTTTGTTGACCTCCATTATGACATTCACCAAAAAGTGAAAATGTATGTTTCTGATTAATTTTTAATTTATACTTTTTTGATTTGTAATGCTTTTGAATTATTTTGACCTCTTTATTAGCCAGTTATAATTTCTGCTCTAAGAATTCACTATTGTATTTGGTAGATAATGAACAATGATCTTTTGTCTGTTATCTCTAGAGCTTAGCATTTTTCCCAGTGATTTTGTGGGTTCTTTGTACTGTAAGATTATTAACACTTTATTGACATTAGATTTTACATTTTCTCCAGTTTGTGATCTGTATGTTGATTTTGAAAATTCTTTTCCATGTTAAGAATTTGAACATTTTTATTTAATAAACTACATTGCAAAAATTTTATTAATGATTTACAATCCATCTTAAATCTACCATTTTGTCATATTGTTGTCTCCAGGTTTCTGTGGGAAGAGATGGGCAAAGGCAGACCTGTGTTACTTATAGTTAAATGATTACAAGCTTGCTTTGCCTTTTATACACTGAGATTTGTGCCACAGATCAAATCAAAACTATGGTGCAGTAAAATAAAAGCAGAGATCAAGTGTTAACAGGAGGCCTATGGTAAAGGCCACCTGAGAGCCCCCTACAGCCACGAACACTGAAGTGTGACAGGCTGCAGAGCAGAAAAGAAAAACTGCTTTGGTCCCAGGACTCTTCCCAACCTAGAGTTTGTGTGAGGATCTCCAAAGACTCTGGGAAGGAAATACAACCCCTGCTCATAAGACTTGGGATTGTCTTTGTAGATGGGACCTGGTAAGGCCAGAAGGTCTTGCAGGGCAGAGACACCAGAACGCCACAGGCTCTGCCTGTGTTCTCAGAATATGGAGCAATTCCAATTGCTCTGTGTCCACAATGCTCGAGAGATAAAAGCCCCTTGATGCATGTGTGTGGTCAGACCTTATGGTGCCCTATCCCCTGCACCTCTCTTGCCAAAACACCTGGATAGAAAATGGGTGGTAAAGTCACAGTGTCCTTAGTTAGCATTTCTTAGGAAAACCGAGTTTGCTATTGAATGCTGCAGACACTTGCTCTTCCCTTGGCTATCTTCCTCCTCAACTCCCTCCGACAGCCTGCAAGTTTAACAAGATAATTTATCCAATAAAAGCCTTTTGAGCCCAGAGCCCAGAGCTCCTTGCCAAAGCTGATCACCCCAGGAGAGTGCATTGGACCCCTGGACCCATGCTTTCAAATTCTATTCTTGTGTCTTTGACTTTATTCCTTTACTCACTCCCTCATCACTGCCAGGAGATGACACAGCTATGTACAGGGCTGGGCTGGTTCCCAACAGGTTTCTCCTTCCTTCTTAAAAAAAAAAAAAAAAATTGTATTTATTGAGAGTCTGCAAGTGTTAGGGATTTTCCTAGGCATAAGAACCCCAAGTAATGAGTCCCAGACCCTGACTTGATCCAAGTGTCATGCTGGAAAGAAAATTCATTTTACAATGGTAGGTCTAATGATAGTTATGCTTATTTTGCATTGGCCATGCATTGATCAGCTAGATGTATACAGCAGAACTTTCGAAACTGAAATGACTTTTCTTAATCTTTCTTTCTATTTTAAAACTCATGCTTTTCTAGGAAATTAAAGATTTAGAGAATCGGGTCTGTCTATCTCACTTTCCCAGGGCAGAACCATGTCTGTGGTGTTCTAAGGTGTGAGTGCATGGTGGTAGGATTCCTAAAACTTCATACTTGGTTTCCTCATGTAACTTACTCTATCCCTTTATCTATCCACATTGCTTTAAATCATATTTTTCTCTCCAGCTGTACAAGGATGATAAATAGGTGCTAAGTGGATCACCCAGGTGTGATGAGCCCTCTCACAGTGGAATGGAATGAGAACCTTTCTGACTTCATAAATTGAAGGCTATCTTCAGTCATTCTTTTATACATTTTACATGCATGAATCCTCATATAACCCCAAGAAATAAATTAGTATAATTATTCCCCGTTATAGGTGAGAAAGTTGAGACACAGAAGAATCAAAAAGATCAACCAGTAAAAGGCGGACCTTGGATTTGAACTAGACAACCTGGCTCAGAAATCAGTTTTAATTAATACCATCTGTATTTTCAAAGATGTGTAAACACTTTGACAATGCATGCCAATTTTAAACTATGAAGAAACAAACACCATTTTTTACAACATCTCTCAAACCTTGTCCCCAGTATAAATATTAAAATCCAGGCTGCTGACACTGTGAGGCCACATGGCCAGCTGTGCTGGAGGCCTGGTCAAGGCCAAAGCCTGGGTTTACAGAGAAGCAGACAAACAGCCCAGCCAGGAAACTTACTCTATCTTCCTGACTCATTCCCTCTACCTTTTTTTCTCCTAGTGGAGCCTAAGGTGACTGTGTATCCTGCAAAGACCCAGCCCCTGCAGCACCACAACCTCCTGATCTGCTCTGTGAGTGGGTTCTATCCAGGCAGCATTGAAGTCAGGTGGTTCCGGAATGACCAGAAAGAGAAGACTGGGGTGGTGTCCACAGGCCTGATCCAGAATGGAGACTGGACCTTCCAGATCCTGGTGATGCTGGAAACAGTTCCTCAGAGTGGAGAGGCTTACATCTGCCAAGTGGAGCACCCAAGCGTAATGAGCCCTCTCACAGTGCAATGGAGTGAGCAGCTTTCTGACTTCATGAATTTCTCATCCACCAAGGAGAGGACTCTGCTAATCCCCAAGTGTCAGGATTCTCCTCTCCCACATTCTATTTTCATTTGCTCCATGTTCTCATCTCCATCAGCACAGGTCACTGGAGGAAGCCCTTTAATAGTTTCTAGGACATACCTAGTAGCCCCTGGAAAAGCAGTCATGCCTACCAGGAAGGAGAGGCTGTTGCACTTTCGAACCCCACCTACATAATGTCACAGGTCAGAGTCACCTGCTCTCCCTGGACTCCAGGCCCTTCCTCTGGATATGAGACTGTGTTTCTGGTGCTGTTGCTCTGAGTTGCTTGTTGAACTGAGAAGAGGAGAACTGCAGGGGCCTTCCTGACATGAGGGGAGTCCAGTCTCAGCTCTGCCTTTTATGAGCTCTGTCACTCTAGACAAAGTACTTAACCTCATTGAGTCTCAGATGTTCTTTGATCAGATGTTGAAGTATTGTGTCACATGAAGGCTATAATATTTGAATGAGTTTGATGCCTGAACCTTGTAACTGTTCCATATGGTTTGAAAACCTTTTTTTCTCCAGAAATGGCCAGTTATTTTAGCCTTTGCAGGGCAGCCATCTTCCCCATTTTCAAAGATCTGAATCTCAGGGTCTCAATTAAGAAGTTCAATTTGGGATAAAAATCACTAAACCTGGCTTCCTGTCTCAGGAGCACGGTCTGAATCTGCACAGAGCAAGATGCTGAGCAGAGTCGGGGGCTTTGTTCTGGGCCTGCTCTTCCTTGGCACAGGGCTGTTCATCTACTTCAGGAATCAGAAAGGTGAGGAGCCTTTGATAGCTGGCTTTCTACATAGCCATTTCCGGAGGAGAAAGGAGAAAATATGCTTTGCTAAGGTTAGTTCTCAGTATATGAGTGGGCCTGTATAAAGCCTTTCTTTCTCCAAATGATCTCCAATGTCCTGCAAATCCAGAAATTAATAAGTGCATGTTTTCTACGTCACAGCATGATAGCTAGTGGCCTGCAGAGATAAGAGAAAGGTTAACGAGTAGGGTCCTTTGGATTGAGATCCTGGAATAAGTTAAAGAAGAGCCACTAAGGCTAATGCAGTTACACTGGATCCTGTGACAGACACTTCATGCTTCATGGATCACATGGTCTGTTTCTGCTCCTCTCTGCCCTGGTTGGTGTGGGTTGTGGGGTTAGAGAAATCTCAGGTGGGAGGTCTGGGGCTGGGATGTTGTGTTGGAGAACAGATTTACTTCCATATCTTTTTTTTTTTTTTTTTTTTTTTAAGTTCAATCCTATTTGAAATTTTTTTTTTTTTTTTCCATTTATTTATTTTATTGCATTTTAGGTTTTGGGGTACATGTGAAGAACATGCAAAATTGTTGCATAGGAACACACATGGCAGTGTGATTTGCTGCCTTCCTCCCCATCACCTACATCTGGCATTTCTCGCCTTGCTATCTCTCTGCAGCTCCTCACCCCCCACCGTCCCTCCCCTATTTCCCCCCAACTGACCCCAGTGTGTAGTGCTCCCCTCCCTGTGTCCATGTGTTCTCATTGTTTAACACCCGCCTATGAGTGAGAACATGCGGTGTTTGATCTTCTGGTCTTCTGTCAGTTTGCTGAGAATGATGGTTTCCAGGTTCATCCATGTCCCTACAAAGGACCCAAACTCATCGTTTTTGATGGCTGCATAATATTCCATGGTGTATATGTGCCACATTTTCCCTATCCAGTCTATCGTCGATGGGCATTTGGGTTGGTTCCAGGTCTTTGCTATTGTAAACAGTGCTGCAATGAACAGTCGTGTGCACGTGTCCTTATAGTAGAACGATTTGTAATCCTTTGGATATATACCCAGTAATGGGATTGCTGGGTCAAATGGAATTTCTATTTCTAGGTCCTTGAGGAATCGCCACACTGTCTTCCACAATGGTTGAACTAATTTACACTCCCACCAACAGTGCAAAAGTGTTCCTATTTCTCCACATCCTCTCCAGCATCTGTTGTCGCCAGATTTTTTAAATGATCGCCATTCTAACTGGGGTGAGATGGTATCTCAGTGTAGTTTTGATTTGCATTTCTCTGATGACCAGTGATGATAAGCATTTTTTCATATGTTTGTTGTCCTGGCGTATGTCTTCTTTTGAGAAGTGTTTGTTCCTGTCCTTTTGGCCCTTTTGTATGTGGTTGTTAGTTTTTTTCTTGTAAATCTGCTTTAGTTCTTTGTAAATTACGGATATCAGCCCTTTGTCAGATGGGTAAACTGCAAAAATTTTTTCCCAATCTGTTGGTTGCCGATTCACTCTAATGATTGTTTCTTTTGCTGTGCAGAAGCTGTGGAGTTTGATTAGGTCCCATTTGTCTATTTTGGCTTTTGTTGTCAATGCTTTTGGCGTTTTGGTCATGAAGTCCTTGCCTACACCTACGTCCTGAATGGTTTTGCCTAGATTTTCTTCTAGGGTTTTTATGGTGTTAGGTCTTATGTTTAAGTCTTTAATCCATCTGGAGTTAATTTTAGTGTAAGGTGTCAGGAAGGGGTCCAGTTTCTGCTTTCTGCACATGGCTAGCCAGCTTTCCCAACACCATTTATTGAACAGGGAATCCTTTCCCCATTGCTTGTTTTTGTCTGGTTTGTCAAAGATCAGATGGTTGTAGAAAGGTTGTGTTGCCTCCAAGACCTCTGTTCTGTTCCATTGGTCTATATCTCTGTTTTGGTACCAGTACCATGCTGTTTTGATTACTGTAGCCTTGTAGTATAGTTTGAAGTCTGGTAGTGTGATGCCCCCCGCTTTGTTCTTTTTGCTTAGAATTGACTTGGCTATGCGGGCTCTCTTTTGGTTCCATATGAAGTTTAAGGTGTTTTTTTCCAGTTCTGCAAAGAAGGTCATTGGTAGCTTGATGGGGATAGCATTGAATCTGTAAATTACTTTGGGCAGTATGGCCATTTTCACGATATTGATTCTTCCTAACCATGAACATGGGATGTTTCTCCATCTGTTTGTGTCCTCTCTTATTTCGTTGAGCAGTGGCTTGTAGTTCTCCTTGAAGAGGTCCTTTACATTCCTTGTTAGTTGTATTCCTAGGTATTTTATTCTCTTTGTGGCAATTGTGAATGGAAGTTTGTTCTTGATTTGGCTCTCTTTAAGTCTGTTATTGGTGTATAGGAATGCATGTGATTTTTGCACATTGATTTTGTATCCTGAGACTTTGCTGAACTTGCTTATGAGTTTCAGGAGGTTTGGGGCTGAGACGATGGGGTCTTCTAGATATACAATCATGTCGTCTGCAAATAGAGACAATTTGACTTCCTCCTTTCCTATTTGAATGCCCTTTATTTCTTTTTCTTGCCTGATTGCTCTGGCTAGAACTTCTAATACTATATTGAATAGCAGTGGTGAGAGAGGGCATCCTTGTCTGGTGCCACATTTCAAGGGGAATGCTTCCAGTTTTTGCCCATTCAGTATGATATTGGCTGTTGGTTTGTCATAAATAGCTTTTATTATTTTGAGATACGTTCCATTGATACCTAGCTTATTGAGTGTTTTTAGCATAAAGGGCTGTTGAATTTTGTCAAAGGCCTTCTCTGCATCTATTGAGATAATCATGTGGTTTTTGTCTTTGGTTCTGTTTATGTGGTGAATTACGTTTATAGACTTGCGTATGTTGAACCAGCCTTGCATCCCCGGGATGAAGCCTACTTGATCAT